CATTCCGTCATATCTGGAAATTGTGTGAGTGGTATAAAAGTTGAGCATCTGCATCTGGTAGGAAGCCCAGTGTTTTGTGTTGTTATCTACGAGCGCAACATGCTCTCTGATAGGAATGCGATAGTGCAAGCATACTGTGCCGACTGTCATAACCATGAGGGAGTAGTAAAGGGTCCTGAGTTTGCCTTAGGATGCAGCAGCTGTGGATGATTCCCAAACTATTTCTGACATGGCTTTGATGGCTCCAGGCAAGGCACCAGTTAAGAACTTTGCCCCTCTCAGCTCACAAACGGTTGTTCTAGAGTGCTGCTTCCCTTCATCCTTGACTTGTGGGGAGGGGGGCCCTTAGGGGTACCAATGTGAAAGTACTAAGTGTGGAGGGTCCTTGCTTAAAAATGGCATGATCCCATTCAACAGGTATGATTCCTCCTGGCGTTGACCTGTCCCACCTACAAGGAGTATCTGCTCCCCTCCTTGGTCAACCCTGCTACCCGCTAACCACAGCTGGCCACCCTTTGCTGAATCCTCGCTCAGCGACACCTTTGCAGCTGGCAATGATTCAGCAGCAACTACAGCGCTCAGGTAATGGGCTTCTCTTTTTGACAAGGCCAGTCATGCACCGTCTTCATCCCAGATCTGTAACACAAGGTGGTTGGTCTCTCTCTCTCTCTCTCTCTCACTTTCAGGCGCCGGCACACAAGGATCTGCTGTCGGGGTGCAGACAACTCCTCCCCCTGTGTCCTCTCGGACTGGACTGTCTCATATGCACTCGCAGCTTGACCATCGTGCCGCTGCCCAGCGAAGTAGCTCTCCCGTCGGCCTCGCGAAGTGGTTTGGTTCGGACGTCTTACAGCAGCCCCTCCCGTCCATGCCTTCCAAAGTGATCAGCGTGGATGAGCTGGAGTACCGGCAGTGAAGAGCCTTGTTTGGGAGAGCAGGGATCTGCGCTGCTTCTGACTGAGACCCCTCTCTCTCCTCGGGCAGCTGGCCTCTTGACGTGCTTCACTTCCGTTTCTTTTGGGGTGCTTTGGTTTCAGCACTTGGTGCAGAGTTCTTTTTGGAGTGACTAAAAGCACAGGGCACCTGTCCGAGTTTCCATGTCTACATCAAGATTGAAACAATTTATTATAAGACTGAATAGTGAACCCTGAAAAAACTTGGATGCGAGACAGTACCAGAAGAATTCTGGACGCATCTACCTTTTTTTGTTTGGTTTTTTTTGTTTTTTTTTTGTAAAAATGTAGGAATGAAGTGCTGGTGACCTCTTGGGACAGAGGCGTCAGCCTTAAGGGTTCATCACTGGAAATTCTATGTACAGACCAATGTATGAACATCTTTTTTTGTATATATCCACGGGAGAGCTTTTTTGAACTTATACAGCTGTACATATAAGAGTAGCTAGTAAAAAGTTAAGCTTTAGTTTGTGTGCCTTTGGTTTGGATCTATTCACTGTACATGTGGGACGTGTATTAAAGGTGCTGCAGAAGTCAATTGTGCGTGAGCCAGGCTGACATGGCTTTGCCTCTTGTGTATCCCGTTCTTAGTCCTCTACATTCTGTTCTAGGCAAGTCACAAAAGTGGGGAAAGGCCACTAGGTACATACTGTATATTTTTGCAGAACAGAGGAAAAGAAATTACTGTGTTGTGATCTTAATGCACCTGAAAAGTGGGCTGCAAAATGCTTCTGCCCTTCATAACAGCACACAAATTTAGGTACCGTAGATCTTGCACCTGTCAACTCTGCTGCAGCCTAGTGCATCTTCCGTGTTGCTGTTCACTAAAAAGTAAGACATAGCTACCCTGGAGTGTCTACAACTGCTAGCAGTTATGGTAATTTGTTCTCCCCTGCTGTGAAGTAACAGCCTTAAATCAGACACCTTCAGTCCAATCCTGAATTGTTTCATTTGGTGGCATGCTGTGTTAGCATTGATGACCCAGATCAGTTTGGATAAATGTCCTATAAATTGTGCCATGACCTCTATGTGGGCCATCAGTGGCTGAACACTTGAAGATTCTGTAACATGAGCTTAGTCAGCAGAGGTGGTCACAGGTGTTTGTCCCTGTAAGATTGTTACATCACTTTTTTAAAATGAAACCTTCCCCAGAATTCTTTCTGTAAATAAAGTCAATTCTATGAGCTTTCTGACTCATTGTGTAAAAGGATACTTGTTGCAGGGGCATATTTATGAAATTTGACTTCAGCAAAACAAAAACAAAAGTTTCCCATGACAAATTCCAAGGTTCATTATGATATATCCATCTTTTATCAGGAAAAGTCAAAATTCTTGAGGATTTCAAAACTGCAATAGGTATCTGTTTAGAAAAAAAAAAGTTTTAAAAAATTTGTTTAAAAAACAAAGCATTTAAGCCACAATGGTGGTTTGGAAGTATGTGGCTTTTGGGAATTGATTCAACTGGTTGATAGAGATTGTTTTGCTGTTGCTGAATCAAAAGCTTCATGATTTTTCCCCTGCAATGAAGACATTGAATGTTGACAGTTTTCTCTCTAGAACATTGCAATGTGAGAAAACACTCAAGAGCTTCAGAGATCAGAATCGGATTTAAGCCCATCAAACTAGAGAAGTGGTCAGAGACCAGCACAGCCCAGGAAACTTAGTTTGAGCAGCAGTCAGGGAGAAGGTTTCCCCAGCTTTGAGGCAGGGAATTTGAGAAGTGGGTGCTGTATTGGTCTTGGTTCTTTAGCCCTGCGATGTGCCTTGGCAGTCTCACTTCCACCACTTGAGAAACGCATCCCAACTTGGAGGGGGCTGAAGAAATCAGGTGGAATGGCTAAAGAAATAAGAGAGCTAGGTGCAGTTTAAGGTACGATGAAAACGGATTGCTTTTTAACTGTTTCCTTGTACTCTTAATCCTATCCATATTATTGGTGCATGGATGTGTTCTTATTCTTGGCAGAGTAGCTACAAATTAATGAGCCTGCAAAATTCCTGATTGCTCCCTGATTAGAGTAGAATGAAGGAATGTGAAAATGGCTCAGGCAGACACCTCCCATGAATGTTGGTGTTGGAAGAGGGGATGTTAAGTAGCTGTAGCATTCCTAGGGGGTTGGTTTCTTGGGTAGGTCTACATAAGTGGGGCTGACCTTTTCCCTTTCTTGGGAAGCTGCAGCTGTAGAGATTGTATTGGAAGAGTTTAAGGAACCAGCAAGCACACACTCAAATTATTCCCATCAATCTGACCAATGCACTTAATTAACCCATTTCTTCCCTCCCACCATACCCACCACCTCATCCTGAGATGGGCTGATGCCTAAAGCCTTGAAGGCGACCCTTCCTTAATCAGCTCTCCCTGGAGCCACCCTTACTTGATGACTGTTGCGTCGTCTTTCAAGAGGCTGTAAGGAGGGCAGTTGAATGGCAGCTAAGAAAAAAGTGGATTACCTGGACCCAGAGATGGGATGGAAAAATCCATTTGGCCAACAGCCATTGGAGGGGGGGGGATGCAACGCACCTCCTGGTCCTACTGTACCTCTTCCCAGTCCTTGATACTTGCCACTAGGGTAGCATTTGGACCACCTATGAGGGTTTGGGATTGCAAGCAATCCTTGCTCCTTAGCATCTGATCCCCGTTGGGTGCAGGGAAGGAGAGGGACCTCCCTTGTGGAGTTCTATGCTGTTCAGGATTCTCCCCACTAGCTGCTTAATGCTTGCATAAGGCTGCTGGGAGTTGTTATTCACAACCCCTGTCAATACACTGAGTATCATTTCCCCAGCCCACTTTGGAGATGCTGCCAAGGCAAGTGGAAGCCGTTGGCTTGGATGGGATGAGACAAACCAAACCCCGGCAAAACAGCATTTAAACAGTTCCCAACCGGCTTTATGGCTGACTCTCAAGGGTCCTCCTGCACTCAGGCTATGTGGAATTGCAATGCTATCCAACGTGAGGGGTTCCATGTAGGGCTGACACTGACACGGGCGCATTAGTGCAGAATGCAGCAGTACAGATCATACAGCACTGAAAATGGCTTTCCCGAGTTTTGTGAAATTTCCAAGGTCAAATCAATGTAAAAAATCTGTACAATCCGATGCCGGAGTGCTTGGAAAGTCAGACTTCTCCAGCTAGGTTTACCTATCCATAATATGCTTCTTGAAAGAAACTGCTTGTGATTTCCAACTTTTATGAAGTTCAGGGTGAAATGGCAAGCGGAGGTCCAGAGGCTGCTTTTCAATTATGGTCCCCATTTTAAGAAGCAGCCTCCCTCATGAAATTAGCTCAAACTTTCTTTTTTAAATGCCTTAAAAAGTTCTTTGCAATTCTATTCAAAAGATTACAAAAAAGGGCTTAACCTATCATTTTAAAACAGATCTAACAATCTTAAGATGTTTAGGTTTCTAAGTATATTTCTCGGGTATCTTTCTTTTTTTCTGAGAACTGAATATTTGGATCAAGACTGATCATTTATTTTCTTGGTTTCATTTCAACTTCTCCCCAAGACTTAACTTCATTTGTCATCACTGCTTGCCTCAACGGCTGGAAGTTCTTGAAAATACCAATCAAGGTAATGCTAAGGCAACTCACTAATTTTCCAGAATGGCAGAGAGACAAATGAGGGCAACTCAGTTCCACTGGAGTATTTGTATCTTCAAGTGATCTTTCACTATTTCCTGCTCTGATTCTGACCAAATTCTTACAGTTGCTAATAGGAACATCAACAAGTCCTTTTTAAATCCTCTTGGTCTATTTCTGTTAAGTTCGTGGGGTTTTCCTTCGCATTTGGATAAAAGGTGTAAGAAAGCTAATGTTGGTGAAACTTCTGATCCGTTGTAGTAATTCTTTGTAATCCAAAAATATTTGACACTGATTTTCCTTTCAGCAATTTCTTTCATATCCCCCTTTTAGTGAAATTGATTTTCTTGATGTCAACTGCAATTTTGCAGAATCTTAACATGCTCAAAGAATTAAACGTCAAGCCTGCCTATTTCCAAGCATCACCTAAGCCCTTTTGAGGAGAACATCCCCTCTGAGCTTTTGCCTGTAGATTTTATTTACATCAGCAACAAGGACAGGACCATCCCTTTCGTATACAAATCCACAAATGATGACAAGGGAGAGTTTTACATTTGCATCCTAATTTATGTCGGCAGCATAAAAAACTCCACTGACTGAACTCTTCCCAGAGTAAAAATGTGGACGCAATTAAACAGTAGTGCAAAGCCACGTGTGTTTGCTAATGCTCTCCCGCCCACCTCAGGAAAAAGATTTTAATTAGTCCACAAACTTTCACAGTTGTGTTCGCATCCACTCAACCGTTTGGCAGGCCAGGAAGTTCCATAGTTAGTCTTTTTGGAAAGGAATCGTAATTGATGGACCAGAGGGATTTTTATTTTATTTCTTGACTATCTGAATGACATCTTCATCCTCCAAAGTATGATCTTTTCCCACTTTCTGAGGGTTGTGCTTGACAGACGAGCCCCACACAAGAGCACTGGAAGAAAAAAGTGTTAGCAGAGTTAATGGCATAGATCTGTTATTGCATTAACCTTATTTTTTAATCATATAACTTCCTTCATACATTAGGGGAATGTGGTAGATAATCTCGATTTATCGTGACTTAAGTAAAGCATTTGGATGGATGACTTGGTTTTCAATACCTTCTCCTGCATCACAGTTGGTCCAAGGGTCTCTGGGCAGCAGCTGCCCCCTCCTCTCCAGACACTGAATACCACCCTGCCAGACAGGACTATAGCCCCCACCTCTACAATAGTCCTAAAGGAAATGAATCGGCTGTTTGCAGACCATACTTACTATTTGAAATCTTTAATGAGGTTTTTATGAATCTTCATGCAGAAATCCTCCACAGTGGTCCGAGAGTCAGGCAGGACCACTGGAGAAGTATAATCTGGGAGCTGCCCTTTGGGTTTAGTATAACTGCAACGAATGAAACATTACTTTATCAAGCATCTATGCTTTCAGACAAGCCCCCTTTCTAATCAAGATTACTCTTTACAGTTATTATTACAAATAGAGGTTAGCCCAAAGCAGACCCCAACAAGTGATGGAGCAGGACGGAAGGCCCCTCTACCAGAATAATTCCCACCTGACAAACAACTACATGTCAGTGAAAAAGATTTGAGATGGTCTTCTCTTTATATCTTTTTTATAAATAAATGCTGGAGCATGTCCTCCATCTTATGAAAACATTCATTCTGTGTTCTAAAAATATCACAGCTCTTTTACAGAACAGAATTCAATGATTCCAACACAAACATTTTTTTTTTCTGACTACAATCCTGCATATCTGAAAAACTGCTGAAATTCTGCTCCCCCCCCCAAGAGAATTACCAAGAACTTTGAGGGTCAAGAGAACACAGTTGAGATTTCAGAGCTGAAGGGAAATTAACACTAGGGAACATTTTTAAAGGAACTGGAATGATTTTGAGCTCTGACAAACCAAAACTTACATCCGCACAAGTTTAAGGTAATCCCAGATTCTCTCCAGCAGGTCATCAAAATTCCACCGATGATGAGCAGAGATGGGAACGCAGTGGGGCACTTTGTAAATGATGTCCAGTTCCTCAATGGAGATTTGATCAATTTTGTTCAACACATAAATGCACGGGATGTAAACTCTGCAAGGATGAAGATGTGAACCAAAAATGTAAGACAGAGATCTTTCCTATCTTGCTCCTATCCTAACTTTCCTATCTTGAGAGTTAGGAGACTTCCAATTCTAGGCAGTTACAGTAACCAAGTTGGTAGAGCAAGAGACTCGGCCCTGTAAGCTGCATCCAGCCTATTTACTATAGTCCTAAGCAATCAGCTGCTAGGAAGCCAAGAGAGATCCCTTTCTTGAGCAGTGCTTTGTGCTTAGACCAAAAGAGCAAAAAAGCAGCCACGCTGTAAGACACCCTGGTTCCCTGCCATGCAACCAGACGCTTCTTTATCAGTCCACGAAAACTACCTGTTTCCTTCAACCACATCAATGAGGTCGTCTGCAGTCACATCGCTCCTCAGGGTGATATCAGCATTGTGGATTTTATATTCTGCCAAGATGCTCTTCACAGTTTCGACATCCAGCTCACTCTGCGGACACTGGTCAAACAAAATATGATGATACACAGAATCCTGCAGACCACAACAGCGACTGGATCAAGAGTGAAGCAGATGGACTTGCAGGCTTAGCCACGTGGCAGGAAGGGCTTAATAAGCCCACTGGCAACTGCTGCTATGGAGCTTCACGCATGAGGACGGGCCACAGCACACCCAGAGGGCAGGAATGCTAACCTGGAGGGGAAGGAGGTCTCCTCAGCAGCCTTTCGCAGAGCCCTAAAAGAGTGTCCTGACCGAAGCGGGGCTTGCTTCACTTCCCATCTCACTGCTGTTACCACTCAACCAAACTCTTGCGCTACGCTTCAAAGGGAGCCCCTGCTGGGACTCAGGGACCATTGCCAGAGACCCCTTTCAGACATTCCTTCAGATATAGCAAACGGCCTCCAGTATAAATTTATCAGGTCAGATTTCTTATGCACAGCAGGGTAGGTAAGTAGAGGTACTACTTACTGTGGCTGTGAGGTTAATGCCTCCTTTGTCCTTTTTCTTAAAGCCAATATTGGGAGGTTTGCTGTTCAAACGTATCCCAAAGCCCTCCAGCTCACTCTCAATTATCTTCTTATGTCCCAAAGGTTTCAGAACATCCAGAACTATCAGGATAAGGTTGCAGGTTCGGGCAACTGAAAAGAAAAGAAAAAAGAGGGGGGGGGGAGGGGGTAGATTCTAAAAATACTCTTCTAAAAAGCCAAACATAAAGTGTTGGAATCTAAAGGGGGAAAAAACTTCATGGTCATATAATTCAGCTCAAACCAGAGTAATAAACTTAAGGTATTTTGAATCAAATGTATGTCAAGGAAGCAAGGAAAAGCCACCCGCTTCCTTTGTATGAAAATAAGCTTTCCCTCTTGGGAATTAGAAGCAAAAGGAGCACCAAGCCCTCTTCTCTTCACTTCCCCTTTTGACCTGGGACCACCAGCACTCACCTGCAATGACCTGGCGACCTCGGCCTTTCCCATCTTTGGCACCCTCGATAATTCCTGGTAAATCAAGAAGCTGCAAAGTTTGTGGAAAAAACAAATAGATGTGGAGAAGACGGACAGCACACCTTAACCAGCCGATAACCTGTTTCCCTTTGTCCTGTGATACTTCAGTCATGTTTTGCTGACCATCAGAATTTCTAGCCATCTCCTCCCGCTGATCATTTCATCGCCCATTGCATTATTCTCCACTCAAGATTGGCTTCCAAAATTCTACTCAACAATCTCACTGCAATAATGTGAAAGAGTATGTTGAAATCCTAGCTATTTATCTGCTTTGGAGATGATCTGGGAGCAAATACAAAGTCATTCTGTTCTACTATGGTCAAAAGCAAATTATCTTGGGTGGATTGATGTTCTTCAATATTTTTGGAATACCATGAAAAGACTAAGCGCCTGAAGCTGTTTAAAATGAGCTTGACATATATATCTGACAGATGTACATGAACAAACAAAGCCAGGGACAAATATCGATTAAACCCCTTCTTTAAATCCAGTGATTAAAACAACACAACACTTTCAATCATTCCTGTTAAGTTTTTCTTTCCCGGGTTTTCATCTTGCTTACTTTCCTCTGGATAACCTTCAGTTTATTAACGTCTTGTATAAAATGCAGTCTCAGAAGTGGCCACAATATTCCAACCACAGCAGAACAGAGGAACAATAACTTTTGTCTTAATACTTACAGGGGTTCTTAAAAGTTTGCGGACACTTTTGATTTTTCAATATTTTTGCATAAACATGACCTGTTCTCCACACATATCTTAAAATCAGATAGAGAACCTAGTTAAAGAAATGAGACCAAGAATTCTATTTGTTCATTGATTTATTGAGGAAAATGATCCAAAGCTACATACTGGTGTGTGGCAAACATATGCAGACCTCTAGGATTATCAGTTCATTTGAAGAGGAAATTAGACTCTGATGGGATGATAATGAAGCCTGACTGGGGAAAGTCCTGCCTTGTCTAAAGAATAGAGAATTCTGGATATTCACTATAAAAGTCTGATCTCCACACAGGGATGTCATGGCTTGAATAGAAGAGATTTCTGAGGACCTTCAAAAACAGTGGATACTCGACAGGTTGGAAAAGATTACAAAACTAATTCCCAAAGTTTTGGACTCTGACAGTCCACTGTTAGGCAGATTATGTGTACAAAATCTCTACTCTCCAAAAAACAACACTGCTCCATCTACAGTTTGTGAACACCCAAAAGGCTGTTGGAAGGATTTCTGTGACCAGACGAGACTCAAACAGAGCGTTCTGCCTTGAATGAAAAGTATTACATTAAGCAAGGCAAGCGCTGCATTCCGGCCTAAGAATTTCATCTCATCTGTGAAATATGGTGGTAACAGTGTCATACTTTGGGCCTATTCTGTTGCTTTGGACCAGGACGGCATACCATCATTGATGGAACAATGAATTCCAAGTTGCAGCAGGAAATTCTAAATGAAAACTTTAACAGGACCAAAGAATGTTTAAAGCAGAAGTTGAGGTTTTGAAATGGCCAAGTCAAAGTGCTGACCTTTAGCCTTATAGAAGCATTGCGGAGACCTGAAGGTGGGCAATGCCCAGCGGCACCCCTGAGCTGAAGCTGTTCTATAAGGAGGAAGGGGCTACAGTCCCTCCAAGCTGTATGGGACTGGACAACCATTATCAGAAACATTTGGCTGCAGTTATTGCTGCCCAAGGGGGGCACAGGAGCTCCTGAAAGCAAAAGTTCACATATTTTTGCCACGTACAAATATGTAGTTTTGGATCATTTTTCCTAATAAATCAACAAACAAGTACAATATTTTTAACTCATTTAATTGCATTCTCTTTATCTAGTTTTGGGACTCGTGTGGACAACGGATGATGTTTTAGGTCATATTTATGAGAAATATTGAAAATTAAAAAAGGTACACAAACTGATGCACCCTGTTCCTGTTTTACCATCTTCTCTTAGTAGAACACTGACTACTTAATTTCCCTTCCTTTTCTTAAGTTCCTTTTACACCTGAACCTTAACTTTCTGTGCGATTGCACCCATCTTCTACCTCCTAGAACATCCCTTTTAATTCATAGCTCAATGGAAAATTCCTTATGCAAAATGGTTTTCTAATCTGCATGCAGACCCTACCAATGGGCCATGTGACTGGATCTATTCCTTCCAGTCCTTATTGGTTTAACGTCTGCATTCTGCCTACCTCTTGTAGTTCCTGGGACCACACTATTTCTGGGGGAGGGTGCTCTCTTTCCGTCACACAATTCACTTCAAAACCCACTAGATCAAGTGGGTTTGAAAGGCTCTCATTTTCTCAAGAGATACTGTCGGAATCATTTGTAAGATACGTTTCTGAACAGTTCTGGCTGATACTGGACAGTCAGCTTGGTCTACAGGTCTTGGGATTTTGTAATCATTTTTCTACCTATTTGTCAAACATGCTTTGTCGTTGTTTTTAATGTCAACTAAGGTTTATGAAAAATCAGAGAGCTATAAATTGCCTACTTTGCAATACACCGCTGTCTGGCTTACATACAAAACAAGTTCCAAGAATTGTCAATCAGCAGAGGAAGCTATTAGACCAGGGGTTCCCAACCTGGGCTGCTCGCACCCCCTGGGGGTGTGAGACGATATTCCAGGGGGTGCAAGAAAAGTCCAGGTAAATAATAGGATATTGGCTATATGTTGGCATTTTTATTTATTATTTATTTCAGGGGGTGCGAGGTTCGAGTGAAATTTCTTTAGGGGTGCGGGGCAAAAAAAAGGTTGGGAACCACTGTATTAGACAGTTATGATAGATGCATCTCTTCTGCTCTGGACTTGCTCACTAAGGATAAATACACTTCTGTGTGAAATAAAAGGCATGTACAGGCTTCATAAGCCTCACCTGTATTTTGGCTCCTTTGTACCGGATCACTCCTGGAACTGTGGTTAGAGTGGTGAACTCGTACGCAGCTACTTCTGAGTAAACACCAGCAAGATTGCTCAGCAGAGTAGATTTCCCCACCGAAGGGAAGCCCACAAAACCAATCCGGGCATCGCCAGTCTTTGCCACATCGAAACCTACCAAGTGATCATTCATTCAGAGTAACTGATAGGCCCACAAAGCCTCTAGCAGAAAAGTCAAAGCAAACAAACTGTGCCACCCTGGCATCGCCTTGAGAAAGAGGAAGGCTCACAGCTGTCCCTTCATCCAGCAATTGGGGGCCCCACTTCTCAAATCTACCCCCAAAGGACAGCCTGGTCCTGAGCTGCTGAAGCAAGAAGAGATGTATAATAACCAAACTTTTTAAATTCTATACCCTTAAGTTTTTCAAATAAAGCAACAGGAACGTACTCAACTCAGTTTACATGTATTACTACAATTTATGCTAGCATAAAAGACTGACGATAATTTCACACTTCAGCTGACAATAGAATTGTGTGAACACTGACATACCTGAAGATCTGAATGTACTTACATGTGGACAAAATGGACATTTTGACACATTCAACTGAAAAGAAAAGAACTGGCTGCTCCGTAGAGTCAGTTATTCCCTATAACAGGGGAAACTTGGCAACTTTAAGACTTGTGGACTTCAACTCCCAGAATTCTACAGCCAGCTGTAGAATTCTGGGAGTTGAAGTCCACAAGTCTTAAAGTTGCCAAGTTAGGAGACCTCTGCCCTAGACCAATAGACAGACGATCAACTACTTCTATGTTGGTTCAGTCTCTATTGGTAAAAAAAAAAAAGTATAAAGAGCAGGCTGAAGGGGCAAGGTTGACATTTGGAACTGTTCGAAACATGATCAGCCCACCTCACAAAGGTGCTTGGGGCTTGCTTTCTGTTTCTTTTAGATCTTGGGGTCACACAGGTGCCACGTTGCGGATTCTGCCCTGGTTACCAAAAAGGGTTCTGAAAGTGTATTCACAACCCTAGCAAGGGATGTCCCACTCCTGCTCCGTCCTTCTGAAAGGGCAAACACACCTTCTCCGGTTCCGCTCCCTCCGCCTCCTTTGGGGGTGATCAGCTCTCGACGCAGCTTGGCCAGGCGGGCTTTCAACAGCCCCAGGTGGTGGGCCGTGGCTTTATTCTTTTGGGTGCGAGCCATCTGGAATAGTAGGGGGGAAATTCATGGTCAGCAGGCAATCTTGGAGGCTCACGGTAGAGATGGCAGGGCCAACTTTTCAGAAAGACAGACCTCTTTCTCACGTGTGGAGAGAGTTTCCTCCTTTAAATTCCTGGGAGTCTACCTCAGCGAAGATCTCGCCTAGAAAATCAACATGACCCAAGTGGCCAGAAAGGCCCAACAGAGACTCCGTTTCTTCAAGGTCTTGTGAAAAAACAAAGTGGAACAACGACTGATGACTTCCTTTTACCAGTCCGCAATAGAAAGCATCCTTACTCACTGCATGACGGTGTGGTACGCTGGCTTGACAGCCGCGGATAGAAAGGCACTACAGAGGGTGGTAAGTCCAGCACAAAACATGGTGGGCTGTTCTCTGATACCACTAGATGACCTCGCTAGGGCTCGCTGCCTTAGAAGAATGAGGAAAATCCTCAGGTCAGTCCTCCTTCACTCTCCTACCATCAGAAAGAAGATACAGAAGCATAGGCAGCCCTTCGCACGAACAGGCTGAAGAACAGCTTCTACCCCTGGGCTGTCAGACTCCTGAACAGAAAATAACTTCACCACAACACAGTACGAGTGACTTGCGGGTGGGCGCAACATGCAATAGGTTCGCATGGTCCTAGTATGATTCGATTGCTTATTGTACCCTATGACTTTTATTAAGCGTTATAATTTTTATGATTAAGCCTTATGATTCTTGACAAATGTATCTTTTCTTTTATGTACACTGAGAGCATTTGCACCAAGACAAATTCCTTGTGTGTCCAAGCACACTTGGCCAATAAAGAATTCAATTCAATTCAGTTCAGTTCAAGTCTATTCTATTCTATACTATTCTATTGGACTCCGTGTTGTTAGTGGGATTCACCGGGTTAGGGATTTTCTGCCTTTCACTCTGAGTTGTATTGTGTTGGGGGGGGGGGGGCATGAAGGGAGGCTCAGCCAATCTCAATGTACACATGTTGTACTCTGACAATAAAGGAGGGCTCCCCAAACTTGGCCACGTTAAGACTTGTTGGACTTCTCCATGTTTGTAGTAGCAAATCTCTTATTCGGTGTCTATTAAAATAAGCTTGCGTCTTGCCCTTTTTCTCCCATAAATATGCGTGCCAACCTTCATGGAGGTCATGACCTTCTATCGTTAGTATTTGTTTATCACTTAGTTTAACCCAATCCTTAATCCAATTCAATATCACTGCTTGGTAGTAAAGTTCCCAATCCGGTAGCCCAAAACCACCTTGGCTTTTACTGTCTTGCCTCAATTTTAATTTGATGCGTGGTTTCTTACCCAGCCAGACTAGAATACCAGTCAAGAATACCGCGCTGACTGTCAACCATGGAGGCCATGATACATCCCAACAGACTAGATTTAGGCAAAATGGTAAAATAGAACGATCTATTAGATGCCCAAGGGAGATTAAAATCAAATCAAGAATTAAAAGAACAAGGAATTACAATTGATTGGTGGCCATATCTCCAAGTTCAAAACAAATACAAAACAGATTCAGAAGAATTTGAGTTTTATATGGGACAAAAACAATTGGATAAGATATTAATTGGACCAGAGCAAAATTTTATATCCAAAGCTTGTAGATACTTGTTAGATTTTAGAATGGAGGAAGAAAGAGTAAAAAATACAATGATAGCATGGGCGCAGAATTTCGGTTATAATATAAATTTAGAGTGGGAAAAATTATGGAGTATAAATTATAAATTAACAACAGCTGCAACATACAAGGAAATTTTATATAAAATGTTCTATCGGTGGCACTTAGCCCCAACAAGATTAGCCAAGATATATCCGAACGCCAATCCAAAATGTTGGAAATGCCAACGAGTTGATGGTACCTACTATCACATGTGGTGGCTATGCTCTCAGGCCAGGACCTATTGGAATAAAATTATGAATTGGACACAAGAAATTATTGGATGCCAAATTGAATTCAAACCGGAAATCTATTTACTTGGGATTATTCAAAAACAATATCCGAAAAAGATTAAATATTTAATTTTACACATATTGACAGTAGCTAGAATAGCTTACGCGCAAATGTGAAAGAGTAGAGGATTCCACCTGAAGAGTTAATTATACAAAAAATAGCAGACTGTGCTGAGACGGACATGCTCACACTTAAAATGAGAAAGAAGAATCAGGATACTACTCAATTTGGCATAGATGGTACATGTGGCTAAAAAGAGATAAGAATTAGAAAAGATGATTAAGTAAAAGAATTCTCAAGAAAATGATACACAAGATATAATAGGATAGACAGAAGGATCAAAGATGTACAATAATAAGTGTAATATAGGTATCAAGGATAGGTATGAATAAATGTTAAAAGAATAAGACAATATTAAAGATGCATAATAATAACTGTAATATAAAGGCAATATGTATTGATGATTGATGATTAATGATAAACAAAGATAATATAGACTAAGATAGGTACGAATAGATGTTAAAGTATAAGGCAATAATATATGTGGATGTCAATGTTATTGAAAAAGTAACTAAGATTAGTACTGGTGGAAAATAATAAAAATTTATTGGGGGGGGGGGGGGGGGAGAGACTTGTTGGACTTCAACTCCCAGAATTCTCCAGCCAGCAAATTCTCCAGCAAAGCTGGCCGGGGAATTTGGGAGTTGAAGTCCAACAAGTCTTCAAGTGGCCAAGTTTGGGGGACCCTGCAATAAAGATTTGAACACTGAAAATGAAAAACAAAAATGGCAGAAAATGGGTTTTGTTATCAGTACGAAGAGGCAAGGGGCGACATGTTGCACAGAAGCTGCCCCGCCTGCCCAGGGCTCCCTTTCTGCCAAGGCCCCGTCCAAGCTCGGAGGCAGCCCGAGAACCGACCTCCCTGCAGGGACCGAGGGGCACCCAAGAGTTGGGCGAGGCCCCCCGGGCGGGCCCCCGTTTCCTGCTGCCAGGAGTCTCCAACCTTGGCCACTTTTGGCCTGGCGGACTTCAACTCCCAGAATTCCCCAGCCAGCTTTGCGGCCAAGGTTGGAGACCCCTGGCCTAGGAAAGCCCCCATTTCGCCTTGCTGCCGGCCTGGAAGCCGGGAGGGCCTGGGTTCTCCAGCCCTTCCCTGGGCACGGCAGCCGGCTGAGAGGATTTGAAGACAGTTCGCTGCCTCAAAGGAAGGAAGAGCACCTAATCGTCACCGGCGCTTCGGCCTCCTTTTTTTTTTTTTTTTACGGCTCCCCCAAGTCAAGGTGGCAGCAGCGCATCCTCCGGCCTGCCTCGTTTACCGACATCTTCAGCGGGATTCCCGTTGCCCGGAGGCCGGGCTGCGGAGAAGGGCTGAGGCGGGCTCTTCCCTCGCCTCCGCCCCACCGACCTCTGGCCGGTAGACTGCTCCACCGCTAGGCCCCGGCTCCCCCCTACCCTCCGCCCAGAGGCAAGCAGCCCGCCGCTCCTCCGTTACCTCCGCCTCGATCTCGGCGATCTTGGCCAACGTCGTAGCCATGGCGGCGGCAGCGGCAGCGGCGTCTCCTCAGAGCTGGCTCCCCTCAGGCTGCAGCCGCGCAGGCGCAGGTCACTCGCGCGCGACTTCCGACTAAAGCCCTGCGGGGAGGCGGAGCAAAAGAAAAGAACGAGAATTGACGCGCCGGACTTGCGCACTCCTGCCCTGACGGAAGGCGGGAAAGTGCCATAGAGCGTGGGCGACAGAGCGGCACTCGTCCGCCCGGCGCCTTTCTCCTTCGCTACTTGAGGGCTCCCCCTGGAGACGAGAGCCGCGTCGCTCCGCTGCTTCGTCTCGCTCCGTGTCCTTTTCCAAGTGCAAAATGGGGCAGGCGCCCCCCCCCCGTGACTTGGCAGTGTGGTTCCCCTCCGGCCGAAGCATGGGAGGCGCCGGGCAGGTTTGGGGCACGGACGACCCTCGCCAAGTGGGGAACAGCCCCGATCCCGCACTGGGCTGCGCTGCCTCCCCGCTGCAGCCCCCACTGAGCCCCGGGACGGAGGGCCCCTCCCCGGGAGGCAGAATTCAGGTTCTGCTTGGCAGTGTCTCCGCCGGCTCCGCGTGTGTGAAGCAAAAAAACTGGCTCCGAGCTGGCTTCCCCTCCAGAGGGGGTGCAGACACTTTAGGGCCCCGTTAACCCCGGGGCTACAAACCCGTCCCGGTGCTGCAAGGGGGAGGGGAAAAAGCAAAGGTAGTGCCAGCTGGTGAGTGCCCTACGGGGGCATCTGGTGCCAACGTGCTCATCGGTTCAGTCTGCGCCTTTGGGGATGCAACGCCTTTTGCATAGGAGCATTGGCTCCCACATCCAACTCCAACCTGCCAAGAGCACCAAGGCCCATGTTGCTGGACAGTTGGCCTCCAGGAGAGAGGGATCTGCAGGTTTTCCAAAACTCAAGAGGAGTGTAACCATGGGGCCCAGCCTTCCCCTCAAACCAAAAGGCTGTGGGGGACCAAGAGCCAAGTCCCATTTCCACATTCATTTAATAAAATGACAATGGTGCTCCAGTGGGGTGCAAAACGTCACTCCTCCTCACAGGAACAAAAAGGCCCTTCCTTCCTCTTGGAGCAACCCAGAAATTTGCTTTCAAGGAAACCTGGAAAACTGGACACATTTCCAGCATCGGAGGAAGTTGCTTCTGCCAGCTGGCTTATTCCAGTGACTTTAGGATGTTGTTTTGAAAATGGTCATTGCTATTCGTGAGTGTACCCTGTATATACACAAAGCAGCATATTTTAAACAAATAGGATGATAAATATTCAGTTTAAATCCTACTTATTTCAGAGGCACACAATGACATTAATTAATAAGTTTACAATTCTGGGAGGGATGGGGGGGGAAAAGCCTCTTTTTTAAGTTTTCCAGCTATTTTGGATGTCATTTGACTGTTCAGTTCTCTGGAAATGTCCTGATTCATGATCCAGGAGTCCTGGGTTTCCAGATCCAACCCTCTAATTCAAGCAATCCAACTAGGAATGAGGAAGAATTGTAACTTCTACTCTGATGCATTTCCAGAAACACCTCCGCTAGTGTTGTACATATTGTTAAGATGGCTGGAGCATCGCTTGGGATCTACTTACAAGAATCCATGTGCGCACCCAACTCAGACATAGCAATTCCAGATGGCATATAATAAATAATAAAGCAAAATAAACAAATACAACTAAAATTCAAAAACATTTAATAGGAAATCACAGCCAAATCCTTCTCCAGAAGGGCCACAGGCTAGTCCACAAACCATGGTTAATAAACCATGATGGGTTTGTTTACTTGTTGCCTTAAAGTGATGCAAAACTTTAAGGCCAGGTTATATTTGTGTACCACTAATCTGATTTATTGGACATAATAAGCCACCAACTTATGGCCCAGAAGCGCACAGTGTAGCAGAGAAAGTTGGGCATGTTGTGCTGTCAAAAGGCCTGTGACCCAAGAGATGAGGGGCAGGCAGGTGCTGGCCTCTGCTTATTTGGGCCTTCTTCCTGCTGCCATTCCCTGGGAAGGGGGCTCCTGGGACCCCCTTGCGAAGGCATTAGCCCTCTGGGAGACTCCACTCCCTTTGCATGTGGCAGCCGGTTTTTCTGCCGGTGCAACATTCCTTGGGGTTGAGGGGTTGGGGGAGCTGCACTGACTGCCTATGCTGATGCCAAATGGCAACCCTGGGGGCATCACCTGCCCTCTTGAAGGGGCCCTGGCTCTCCCTGACTTGGGGGTGCAAGGAAATCAGCCCCCCTCCTGAGAGAACATCAATGGGACTGTGCCATTTTGGTTTTCTAACTTTGCCCATGCATTGTATTGTGACCTTCACAAAAGGGCCCCCCCAAATCCTTGGGAGCCACAGGGATGCGGCCACATCCACCCCAAGGCTGATTTCCCCACAGGAGACCCCCAGGCTGGCAGCCCCTTAGCTGGCCAAACAGAGGAAGGGGTCCGGATGGGGTAGCGGGCAGGCCAGGCTTCCTGGAGGCCTGGGCCCTCTTGTGCTCTCTGGCAACTTTGGGGGCGGCCTCCTCCACAAGAGAGGTTGGGAGATGTGGATGCTGGTGCCATGGCAACAGATGCTTTAAGTAGATGCCCTGGAAGAGGAAGGAGGAAGGACGCCGCCACCGAATCAGGCGAGCAAAACTGGGGGCCGACCTGGCAGTCTGGGGGGCAGGAAAATGAAAGGGGTGCAAGGGAGGGGGGGGGCAAGAGGAGGGGGCGCTCTCCTTCAGTCTCCTTAGAAAGGCCGCCTTTCAGCCCACTCAGCTTCTGCTCCCGGGACTCTCCGAGGGCCTCCTGCCGCCCAAGAGCCAAGGGGCTGCTCGGGGGTCGTGGGGCGGCAGAAGCGGCGGGCGGCCAAGGGGGATTCCGGGACGACGAGCCACAGGCCGGGCGCAGCAGCCGCCGCCGCCGAGAGGCGCTTCCCTCG